TTATAACAAGGGAGACCTTTAGCCCCCCATCCAATAGAATAATTTCGTGGCCACATGGACCACACTTGTTTGGAACTTATATAAACGGGCAAAAGCCAAGAAAAACAAGATTACAAAATTATGGCATGCAGGACGGAGCAGAATGAAAAAACTATCAAACATCATTATTCAGCCTCTTCCTCGACAATAGGAAACATCTGAGAGAGTCCCCCCGCAGGCTGGATAGCGAGCTCCTTGAGGTAGTCGGGAACCAAGATCTTTTTGGAGGCCACATAGTAATTGACCCCCGTCTCGAAGGTATTAAACTCGACCCCAGGGTTCAAACCACGAAGTTGCTTCAGTGTATTCTTGAAGCTCCCCTCATAGGCAGCCTGAGCGTCATCCATTGCCAGTTGAAAATGAGTAACCATCTTAGCTCGAGTCTTCAAGTCCTTCGTGTCCTCTGGCTCGTCTTTAGCAGGTGCATCCTCGGCAGCCAAAGCCGCCACCCTCTCCTCCAGAACATTCTTATCGAGCAGCCAGACCTTGCGCTCCTCGGATAGCTTCCCCAGATCTTCCTCGGCCAACTTCTGAGATTTCTCCTTGTCGCTCCGCCCCTTCTTGACCGCAACCAATTTGGCTCGTAGCTTCTTCAGCTCGACTGAAGGGCTCTCCTTAGTGTAGGCGGCCGCCATCTCCAGTATCCTCATCAGGCCACCGACATCCTGCGCCAACACTACCCTTTTCTTCGGGCAATCCATCCCTTCGAGGTGAAGAGACTCAGTCCAGGGGAGTTGTAGAGTGGTACCCTCAAAGAAATTCCTTTCCAGTCAGCAGAGGGAATATCATACTTCACTTTCCCCTTTTCCCAGGTCAAATCAATACTCCTCTCGACGCGTGGTCTCACCTTCGAGGACACAGGAGCATGAAAGAGGGTGATAGTAGCTTGACCCGAAGACGAGTTGCCCGACCCTGACGTGGGAGCAGTCTCTGGACCGGCCTGGGCATCTTTCAACGCCTTCTTCACCCTCGCAACAAGGTTTCTGGCTATGCGTTCCTGAGCGGGATTTATGCTACCTGCAGAACAAATAACAAATCAGAGTTAGCAAACGAGAATTTAAAAATATCGATCGTATATAATTATTCAAAACATAAAGATAAATACCCAAGTATTTAACGGGGTCCTTGCTCTCGAGGAGCTCCTTATTGGCTATCAGGCATTCTTATGCGTCACCAGCTTTCCTCCCCAACCCACATGCTGGACGTGAGGAATCCGCGCGACAAAAGCGGTCAAAAAGGCGAAGATCGTCTGATCCTCGTCACCAATCTCCCCCTTATTCTAGACGTATGAACCCAACTTGTTGTCAAAATGCTTCCTCCTCCACTGAAAGGGGAACTTGTAGACCAACTAACTCACATGTTCCCCCAACTCGTTCAAGACAGGGGCCCCATTCTCATCATATTCTGGAGTAGCCTGGAAAATGTTCAACATTGCCTTGCTCGAAAAAGGCTGCACGAGAATGTACTTGTCCTTGAAGTGTCGAACAGATTCCAGGTAAGCTTTAAACAGCTTCCCATTTCCCAGCTTCAAGGCGACCCATCACCACTTGTCGTCAACCTTGCTCCTCTGGAGATGGAAACAGTAGAAGAATAAAGGAATGGTTACCCCTATCTTCAAGTAATCATAGACAATCTCGAATTCTCACATGAAAGCGACTCCATTCGGATGTAGCTGAGAAGGAGCCAATTAAAGATGCCTGAAAATGGCCACCTGGAAATCCGAGAAGGGAAGTCGAAGGCCCATCTCTCGGAATATAATGTCATACATGGGGATCTGCCGCTTATCATATTTCGAGCAGATCTGACTATCTTTCTCGGGGATCCAAGGAAACCATTCCCCCGGGTCCCCATCATCGTATGCATACACTTTAATAAAAACCTCATCCCGGTGCTCGAAGAAGTAGGATACCCAATCCCAAGGATCCTCCGCGACCCAGGTTCGTGGATCCTCGTCATCCTCAGGCGCAAACAAGCCACCGTGATCAGCGGGGGCCATCTCCACATCCTCTCCCCCTACTTGTTGATCAGACTGATTCGGCTCGTCCCCAGATATCTCCAAGACGCTCAACGTGCTACATGTCACGTTCGTAGAACTCTGCAAAGATCTGATACATCCATCTGAAAGATCGTCTCCGATATTATCGACCATAGTACCTGAAAAGCAGAGGATATAGGTGAGTTTGACATCAATGCCAAAACCACCCTTCCACCGCTAATCAAGTGAAAGGGCGCTGATAAACGAGCATCATGTCCCCGACCAGAACCCTCACTAAGGCATCTAAACGAACAAACGCTTTTCCCAACAAGATAAACTCCAGTCAACAAAAACGACCTAAATCCTCAAGAATCATCTACGACACATCACAAAAATCCAGGGAGGATCCATGGAGGCTCCGAAGATTCTAAACTACAGGACCACCGTTTGCCACCAACACTCCCCGAGAACGCCCTAACAAACAGGATCATGAGTCTAACCGCATGCATTTTTAAGAGAAAAATCGTGGAAATCTAAGCTACAACAACCAAACAACAGAGAGAAACTAGAATCTTACCAATTAAAGAAGGAAGGAAGTTGAAAGGAACAACGAAGAACAGTTAACCTTCGAGAAACAACGGCCGTCGACTGGCGAGCAATAACGAGCAATACGAGAGAAGAACGAAAAATGTAGAAGGCCTTACTCCTCCCATATTTTTAGCTAAACTTTCCCGCGCGTGAGAGACACGTGCCTAGGGAACCGTAGGATCGTCATCATTGCACTCTAACCCCTAGGCCATCATTGCGTTGTTGCGTTAGTACACTATCCAACACACCACCTCTTCGACTTTCGAAGCTTAAACGACCAATCAATCATCTCCCCGCGAGTAAGGCACAACGCGCGACGCTCACGCTCCCTGTAAGAAGCACCCCTTTTCACGAGCAGGCGTTAAATTCATCACTCATGTGCCCAGAAGCAACAAATTAGGGGGCTATTGTTCTGGACTGACCCAATGACTAGAGTGGACCCAGTCTGACCTCCTCCTTCGGCACGGCCCGTGCGACCACGGCTCAGGCTCTCCCGCGCTCCGTCATGCACCATCGATCGTTTTCCCTCATGGACCAACACTGACCTACGACAATCGACGAGCGCCTCCCAGTCTGCCCGACCTCAAGTCGGCCAGACAACCAGGAACCGACTAGACCGCTGCCTGTAACCTACCTCCTCCTCGAAACTAACAGCTAGTTGCAGGCACACCTGCCCCGTTTAATCAAGTCCTGGCAGTTACCTATTTTTGTGGACCCGCATATCTAGGCCCAATAGGGATCAATGACCAAGCGCCAATAGCACTATATAAACCTTCACTAATCTGAGGGTCAGGTATTGAATATTCATTATTCATCACTAAAACCCTAATACTTTGCATGTATCTCTTTGCTCCTACACTTACTTGATCGTCGGAGTGCCTTGTAGGTACAATCCCCCTTTTTCTTCCTCGACTTTCCAGCCCGTCCAAAATCATCATCTGACCACCTTGCAGATTCTGATCAACTGGTAAGATCAACTACCATGCTATGTCTATTACCAAATAATAATTTGCTCGCGCCCGCACATGATATTTTAGTTTGTAAATCAGATTCACAAGAAGTGATATGATGTGAGGCAACTGAATCTGCAAACTACGTTTGGGATTTAAGATCTTGAGGAACCTACATTTGATTTTGATGAGCAAGGAAAGTGTTTACTTATGTTGATGATGAGGCTTGATGCTTTTGATTGTCTTGAGCATTGTTTGAGTTATTTGTTGTAGATCCTTGTGCTTGTAAGCTTTAGGAGGTGCAGGCTCAAAGTGATCATCATACCTAAAATAGAGATGGCTACAAGTTGCAAATTGAATAGAGATGCGTCGATTTTTTTCATTGATGCTTCTTTGAAGCTAATTTCATAACTGAAATAATACCGCTAACTGAGAAGAAGCTTCTTTGAAGTTTAGATCTTCACCAGATGATGATGATGCAACGAAATAAAGATCAATTCTAGGTTGATACCCTACTAGATGAGAATGCACGCAAGGGAAGAAGAGAGTGAATTTCATTGAAGAGATTGTTCAAACAAAATCTTCTCACATTGATTCTATTTTATTTTTTTTACATTGAGAGAGAGGCAAGATCTTTATATATATACTAATTAACTTTGAGTAGTTAGTTACATATTTCTAATCTCCTAACTAGCTTCCTTACAACCTTTAACCTCTTCGCAAATTGCAATCATCCTTCAAAAACAATTCGATTGTTATAGACTAAAATATTAGTTTTATTCTATCATCAAGAGATATAGACGCGTTAAGCTCTTCACAAATTGCAATCATCCTTACATAACCAATTTGATTGTCCTAAATTTTTTGGCAAAATTATCATCGAACATTTTTTTTTTTTTTTTACTATAAACAAATTTAAAGACAATCTGTGTACATTTAGTTGGGGATAATGTTTGTACAAGACAAAGATGAAAAAGAATATTAGAGAGACCGATTTTGAATATAAACATATTTTATAAGATTTAAGATCTAATGATAAAAACAAAAAGTTGTATAATCTACAATAAAATAACAATGATCAAGAACAAAAAGTTGTATATCATTAAATCAGTGATCTGGATCAAAAAATATCATTAAATCAGTACATATAATTACATATCATTGGAGAATCTAAATCCTTAATTGTCCTTTCAAAGTATCATTAGAATCACTACTCAATAACATATATATACCATTCATGTTAATGTGGACTCTTTCCTAAATGGCTTATCATGTCTTATTGAGTCACTCATCTAATTTATCATCACTATGATCTAACTATCTTACATCATGTATCCATCAATTCACTTAAATGTACATCACCAACATGCATGCATGCATATCACCATGCATGCATGCATACAATCCATTAAGACTTTTTTTATAATGGAATTTCACATTTTTCTAAACTAGTGTTCAACCATTAGCAACGTTGGTTTTTCTTGTTCTTTCTTAGACTCATGATGATCATCAACAACATTTTCATTGTTGTGATTTTCTTCGCCGCCTCCATTTCCCATCTCTACCACCGCGCCTAATTGTACGCGACGCTCTCCATCGCCACCGTCAAGGGAATCACGGGGGGATTTTGCACCAGGGCTAGTTGCTTGTGGAGATTTTGGTGTCCAAATTGCAGCACTTTTACCATGATTGTTATTATTATGGTGTTCTTGAACATTATTAGGTCCAATGCATCTATATATAAAGATGGTGAACCAAGCGAGCCATGGAATTGCTACCAATGCCATGCCTACAAAGAGATACCATGGTACAGCTTCTGAATCTGGTAGGAATATGTACATGCAAAGGAAGATTCCTCCTCCAATTGTGCATGCAAAGAAAAAACAAGAGATGACATATATTCTAACATCTCCTTTTCTATCTCCCATTGAAGAGAAAGATCACACTATAAATGAATATCAATATATAATGATGATATCACTTTTTTTTTCTTTGTTGGAAGATTTTGCAGAAGCTCAATGGTTTGTTTGTTGAGAAACAATTATTAGACAGTTTCAAAGAAAGGGACACATTGAAGCGATTAAATCGGGAGATGGTTTGTTTGTTGGTCAAGCAATTATTACGTTTGAGGTTTTGTCTATATTTTATTTTATGTAGCACACATTAATTATCAAAACATTCAACTATGTAGCACACAACTTTAATTATCACCTATCATTTACAACACTTTAAAAATATTAAATAAAAATAAATCATTTAAATCTCAGGAGAGATTAAACTAAAACCCAAACACGCACATTTTAATTATTTTCTTTCTAGACCATGAATAATAAGAATAAGTGATGGGTTCTCTTGATTTCATTTAGATTTTTGTTATGAACAAGGGCAAATCAGTCATTTCAGTAACTAATTCTTGTGATGAGGAGGGACACTTGGCACACGATCCTAATTTCCAGGAGCAAGGACGTGGAATGAGAGCCAAAATTCCTAACAGAAAGTATGTGGGTGACTTTGTTAAATAGTGGAGGAGTCACCAATGATTGGGTGTGGAATTAATTGATGGAAACCTAACTCTCTTCTTTTTCCTGAAGCTTTAGCTTTTCTATATCCTTCTTTTAATTCCATGTATTCATTACTACAATTGACTTAGCCATTTCCATTGGTATCTTAAATTGTATTTGTACTGTTGCATTGTTGAGTACAAATTTCACTCCATTTATAATTTCTGCATTTTTTCTGCCACTGCACCTTACATTTGGCGCTTTCATTGAGTTGAACCATGGCTGACAACACACGTATGAAGTGCATGGAGAACTCACTTACTGAGATGAACAAAATGCTATAAAAGTTCCTGGAAGATGCAGATCGTCGTCACGACGAGTATACCCACCACCGTCATCTGGATCAAGCGAGATTTGAGAGTGTTGAATCTCAACTCAGCAACCTTCATCTAACTCAGTCCGCTGGCAGCAAGGGCTCATCACCGTCGTCATCACCGGTTGCTCAACCCTTTCAGGTGCGTAATATCAAACTAGATTTCCCTCGTTTAGACGGTTCCGACGTGCGTAATTGGATTTTCAAGGCGGGACAATTTTTAGATTATTATGGTACACCCGATAATCAGCGTCTCATCATCGCCGCCGTCCATATGGAAAAGGATGTGGTACCGTGGTTTCAGATGGTTTCCAGAAATCAACCGTTTCAATCTTGGACCCTATTCACACGGGCCTTGGAATTGGAATTTGGCCCATCTCCATATGAGTCACCCAGGCCCACTTTGTTTAAACTTACGCAAACCTCCTCAGTTGTTGATTACTACACCTCCTTCACCGCGTTAGCCAACCGTTCTCAAGGATTAAGCCCATAAGCCACCCATGATTGTTTCATCAGTGGTCTTCAGAAAGATATCAAGCGCGATGTAATCGCTCAAATTCCACATTCTTTATCTAGAGCTTACGCGCTGGCCCGACTCTTTGAGGACAAATACTCACCATCACCCAACACTAAATTTCCCAATTCTTCGTCCTCATAACCCTATCATTTCCCAGCCACAAACACCACCCCAAAAGCTAACCCACAACCACCATTACTCCCAAATCCCAAACCAATTTCAACACCGCAGAAAAGCCACCCCGTCAAAAACATCACTAAGGCCGAAATGCAACTCCGCCGTGAAAAAGGGATTTGTTATTATTGTGATGAGAAATTCTCTATTACCCACAAATGCCCCAACCGTCATTATTTTCTTCTTCAAATGGATGATGATGACAACGATCCACCACCTGACACCATTGAGCACACCATACTTGATTCAGCCTCCCTGGGGGACTCTGAGCATCACCTCTCTCTGAACGCTTTAAATGGTTCTCACGGGATGGGAACCATGCGCTTTCAAGGTCAAATACAAGTCATTGCGGTGACTATTCTCTTAGACAGTGGGAGTTCAGATAATTTTTTGCAGCCTAGGATTGCCCAATCCTTACAACTACCAATCCAGTCCAACGCTCAGTTTCAAGTATTGGTTGGTAATGGCCATTCTTTGACTACTATGGGCTATCTAGCTGATTTACCAGTAGCCATTCAGGGTAATACCCTCCATGTTCCTGCTTATTTGTTGCCGATTTCAGGTGCAGACTTAGTCTTGGGTGTACCATGGTTAAAAACCTTGGGACCACATATTGCGGATTACAATGTTTTATCCTTGAAGTTTTATGTCAAGGACACTTTTGTTACACTATATGGAGACAAACCTAGTGGTCCAAGCCTAGCCCAGTTCCATCACATCAAACGACTGAACCACACTCATGCTATTGATGTAGCTTTTACCTTGCAATTTGATAAAGTTGTACCAGCAGATACTACTTTAGATCATGATTTGCACCCTGACATTACAACACTTTTACACAATTATAATGATGTGTTTGTTGAACCTAAGTCATTACCACCAGCTAGGTTCCATGATCATGTTATTACCCTTGTGGAAGGTAGTAACCCAGTCAAGGTACGACCCTATAGGTACCCCCACAGTCAGAAAGCACAAATAGAGACCATGGTTAAAGACATGTTGGCACAAGGTATTATCCAACCTAGCAACATCCCTTTTGCTTCCCCTGTTTTGCTAGTTAAAAAAAAGATGGCTCATGGCGATTTTGTACTAATTATCGCGCTCTCAACTCTATCATTGTCAAGGACAGTTTTCCCATCCCTACGGTTGATGAACTATTAGATGAACTCCATGGTGCTCATTATTTTTCAAAGTTGGATCTTCGCTCAGGGTACCATCAAATACTAGTAAGACCAGAAGATAGACCAAAAACAGCTTTTAGAACACACCAAGGCTTGTATGAATGGCTAGTCATGCCTTTTGGACTCTCAAACGCTCCTGCCTCATTTCAGTGCCTCATGAATCGTGTGTTCCAGGCCCAACTAAGAAAGACAGTTTTGGTGTTTTTTGATGATATTTTGGTATACAGCCCCTCTTGGTCTTCTCATTTAGCTCACTTGTCTGAAGTACTCCAGCTCCTGCGTCAGCATTCCTTATTTGCTAAGAGGTCCAAATGTTGTTTCGATTTTACTGAGATTGATTACTTGGGTCACACTATTTCTCATAAAGGTGTCCATATGGATAAAGACAAGGTAAAGGCTGTACTGGATTGGCCTATTCCAATAAATTTGAAGCAACTAAGAGGATTTTTGGGGTTGTCGGGTTATTATAGAAGATTTATCAGAAACTATGCCACCATTGCTGCCCCTTTGACTGCTTTATTGAAGAAGGATGCCTTTGAGTGGACTCCTTCTACCACTGATGCCTTCCTTGCGTTGCAGCAAGCCATCACGGTCGCCCCTGTTTTAGCACTACCTGGTTTTTCCAAACCTTTTATCTTGGAAACTGATGCGTCGGGGACAGGGATCGGTGCCATTCTTAGTCAAGATAAGCACCTTATTGCTTATTTTTTGAAGAAGCTCAATCCCTCTATGCAGACAAAATCATCATATGTCAGAGAGCTCTATGTTGTAACAGAAGCCATGGCCAAATTTAGGCATTACATACTGGGCAATACGTTTATTATCCGCACAGACCAACAGGGTTTAAAGGCTCTCACCGATCAGACAATCCAAACCCTGGAGCAACAGAAATGGCTGCATAAATTTCTTGGCTTTGACTTCACTATAGAGTACAAGCCGGGCAAGGATAACATAGTTGCAGATGCTCTATCTCGGTCCTTCTTTATGGCATCTTCAGGACCGGTCAATCCGCTATTGTCAGTTATCAATTCTGCTATCAATGTTGATCCGTCTTTGTCAGCGATCAAAGCCCAATGTATGCAGGGTACTAATACAGACCCTTTGTATCAAGTGAGACAAGACATTCTATATTGGAAGCATAAGATTGTGGTCCCTTCTAAGGTTGCACATGTCCAATCCATTTTGCAGCAATTTCACTCTTCCATGTTGGGAGGTCATGCTGGTATTTCCCGTACCAAAGCGCGTATTGCTTCTCAATTCACATGGCCTTCTTTATCGCGTGATGTCCATCTGTTTGTCTCCAAATGCTTAGTCTGTCAGCAAGCTAAGTCTTCCAATACAGCTCCTAGTGGCCTACTTCAACCCCTACCTATTCCCTCGCAAATATGGGAAGATGTTTCGATGGATTTTATCACGGGACTTCCTCCTTCCAATGGTTTTACGGTGATAATGGTCGTGGTAGATAGACTTTCAAAGTATGCCCATTTCACTTCCTTACGATCTTATTTCACTAGTGTTAAGGTTGTTGAGTCCTTCTTACACACTGTGATCAAGCTGCATGGATTTCCCAAAAGCTTAGTGTCTGACCGCGATAAAGTCTTTACAAGTGCTTTTTGGAAGCATCTTTTCAAAGCTAGTGGAACTACATTGGCAATGAGTTCAGCCTATCATCCATAATCGGATGGCCAAACAGAAGCAGTTAATAAAAGTGTGGAAATGTATCTCAGGTGTTTTGCAGGACAAATGCCTCAGCGATGGTCTAAATTGTTAGATTGGGCAGAGTTTTGGTACAACTCTTCTTATCAATGCAGCATTGGCATGACCCCATTCAAAGTTGTGTATGGTAGAGATCCTCATATACTACTCAAGTATGATACAGCATCCAATGATCCACCCTCTCTGCAAGCATTATTGACTAAAAGGGATACTACTCTCCAACTTCTCAAGACTAATCTCAATCGAGCGCAACAAATTATGAAGAAATATGTTGATGCCAAGAGGAAGTTTGTTGAGTTACAAATTGGGGATATGGTTTTGGTTAAGCTTCAGCCATATCGACAACACTCCATATCTTTACATCAAAATCAGAAGTTAGGTATGAGATACTTTGGACCATTTCCTGTCATTCAAAAGATTGGGTCTGTAGCTTATAAATTACTGTTGCCTCCCTCTGCTCGAATCC